AGCCGCCCATAAAGGTATCACTTCACTCCCATTGAAGTGGTGTCAGCTGCAGGCTCCGTGACGACACGTGGTGCCAGCCTTCCACTTGCAGTGTCTACACGCTCAGATTAACGCTGCCGCCGTCCCTGTCGCGCGCATGCGTAGTGGTTGTCCTGCTTGTCCCCGACCGCTGCTGTTGCCTGGGCTTCACTTCGGAGTCCTCCTTGTGTACCCGCGTGCGTGTCGTTGCCGCCTCTGGCTTGCGACGTCCATTCTCCTTCAGCGACACATTTTCTGCGGTGTCCAAGCACCCCACCGTCTCCGCCTCCTCAATCCTCGGCTCCTCCGTGGCTGATCGCCTCCGCCCGAAGCGGTGATAGAGCTTGTTGCTGTCATCCCCCCACGCCACCTCCCTGCGGCGCACAGACTTCAAAACCCGGCTTTCCAGCTCAGAGAGACGCAGCAAATTCTCCGAACGATGGCTTGAAAAATAGTCGTGCACGCCGTCATCGTTGCTGTAGTCGTCTGCCTGCTTCTCTGCAGCAGGAATGCTGCCATCCCCGCCTACCGTGGCGCCCAACATCACTCTTGCGTGGGCGCTTCCCCTGCCCCGCAGCAGCAGCGGCGTCCTAGTGGTGGTGGTGTCCTTCTTCGCCGTTAGTTCGTTCTCCCCCTCACCGGCGGTCCCAGTCTGTGCCGCCGCAGCCGTTGGATGCGCCCCGCCGAGACCCTTCATGGCCCGAAGGTTGTCCATGTGGACCTTCTTGTAGTACTCCATCCACTTCGGCAGAACCTCCACGAGCTGCCCGCTGACCCGCATCTGCCAGTCCGTCTGAATTCGCGTAGCGGCTGAAAAGACGTTTGTTAGCTGCTTCTGTTTTGGAAACGGCACAGCAATGTCATTAGCGCGCAGGAGTTGAATTCCAAGGTACGCGAGGTCCGTGTTACCTGTCTCCTGCCCCACTCCTAGAAAAAGATCGGCTGCCATGGTAGCTCGTGCACGCTGGTTGTCGGTGGGAAACTTCAAAGCAGCCGGTGCACGGCCATTCGCAAGGCCAAGAATGAGGCCAGGCAGGACCTCCAGCACAGCCCGCTTGCGCAGAGGCACCAGCAGGTCCATTGCCAACTGTCGGAGAAACGGGACTAGCAGCTCCTCTGGCAGCCCATGCTTATGCACCGCCGCCGTCAGTGGCATCACCGGCTCCACGTCTTCGTAGAAGGCATCAAGCCCCTCACACAGCTGCCGCCATGCCTCCGGCCCCATTCCCTCCTCGACGCACGTAGGATTTTGAAGTGTCAGAGCGCCATCTGTAAACCAGCGACACATCACTTCGCCTGGGCGTGTGCTGTTCGGCGCGAGTCCACGCTCCAGCAGCACCGACACCACGTCCACGAAGGGCGTGTACAGCAGGTAAAAGATAGACCGCGAGTAGGAGGAGACGTTGAGGCGCACCTGGTGCTCAATCTCAGTGGTCGAGAGCTCCTCTGCGGGGCCCGCCGTCAGCCCGCCAGTGGGGTCGTCAAACAAATTCATCTCCAGCGCATCGAAGGCGTTGGCCACATTCCGCGTACGCCCAGCGTATCCAACTGCGTCGAACTTATTCAGCGTCCCCCGGCAGTGCTGCAGGCAAAGACCTCTCGCGGAAGCGTCGCAGGTCTGCGCCAACGGCGCAACACGCCACCTCCAGCAACCACCGCCGCCAACGCCACGTGGCCCGCTAAGCGCAAAACCATATCCATGACGCAAACTACACACCGACGCCCCTGCAGACCTGGCGGCTTCCGGAGGCAACCCCGAAACGAAAGACGCAGCCGCGGAAAAGCGTGGTGATAGTCGACGCATCGGCACAGAGACTTTTGACTTTTGCAAGTCGCTCAAGACTCTAGCAGAGGGGAAAACCGACACGGCGAACAAAAGCATATACACAAAAGAAAACTGAGAAAACACAATTAGGAGGCAACCTTCACAAATTTTCACTTCAAACGCCGCGTCACGACGTCCCCACTCCAAAGCAACAAACTAAGAAGGTGAAGGGGAGCCCATACACACACACACACACACACGCACACATCCAGTGACCGCCCACTGCCACACAACGCGCATGACTTTCCAAAACATCGCGCCAAAAAGATTCACGTCACCAATTTAGATGTCGTCGCTGCCGTCAGGGAAGCAGAGTCGTTGCTCCACGCATCGGCAACTTTCTTCAGCGAATCCACCAGTGCGTCCACGTCACACCGACGCATGCACGCCTCTCCATCATCACCGCCCGCGGCAAGAGAAACGCAGACGTGCACGCGCCGTTGTATCCGCGTAAGGCCGAGCGACACACGGTGCGGGAAGCCGCCGCCCTCAATTCCGCCCATCGTGTCAGATGAGGCGAGAACGTCGCTCCAGCGCTTCATGAGAGCTGTCGTCTCTTCATCTGCAAGTGTAAGCCAACGGAACAACACCATACCAAAGCAAGAGGCATGCACGGAACAGTCAAACCGCCCATCAGCACGCACGCGCTGTTCAAAGTAGCGCAGGGCAGCCTGATGACCCCGCACAAGACGACCCATCGACGCAGGGTTGCAGGGCATAAGCATGAGAGCCAGGCGGATGATTTCGCTCGAGCGCATCTCAGGGCAATCCAGCCGCAAAGGAAATGAATCCACCACACCCGGCGTGCACCACATGTTTCCACCTGCCTCATCCTCGGCATGCATCCGCCGCATCGTCACTGCCACCTTCGCCGTCTCCGCAACGTACAACAGTGCGGCAGAGGAGTTGGCTGAGAGTGTTGGCAGAAATGAGGTTGAGATGCCAACGTGAATGGAGTCCGCAAGCAGGGCAGCCTTATGAAAGGCCAATGTACGTTGCTCCCACATTTGCTCAGCCACGGTGTCCATTTCTTCCACAAGTGTAGGTCCCATTCTTTGCGCTGATTCCTCCTTCGCAACAGGCGCAGCAGCAGCAAGTGCCAAGCCAGAGTGACTGGCGTCGATGTGAAACCACACTTTCACTCGGCGGCAGAGTTCTGCAAGCTCCTCAAGCGGATCCACGGCGGCCGTCGTGAGGGCCCCAAATACGCCACACACCAACAAGGGGTAGAGTCCGTGTGCAACGTCCTCTGCGAGTGACGCCTTCAGCATTTCCAGCTGCATCGGGTAGTTGTGGACGTGTGGGGAATACACGGTCTGCAGAACTCGGATGTGTTGTATGCCGATGCAGCGCGCCGCCTTCCGCAGCAGTGGTTGGCACTGATCGCTGCAGTAAAGCACCAGTCGCTGCGTCAGGCGTGCCTCCTCCTCTGGACCGGAGAAGTGGGCACTGAGGTAACGAGCATGTGCCTGGGTCCGGGCAGTTGTGAGGAGCACAATAAGGCTCTCCAGTGACGTGCTGTGCAGCATTCCCCCACCGCCGCCGGCACCCACAGTACGGCCTCCACTACCATGAGCCGCGGGATGCTGTGAGGCTGCGATCTGCATTACACGAGGAGCATCGCGCAGTTTTGTGGAAGACTGCTGAGACCCATGCTGCTTCTCTATCGTTGCGTCCCTTCCCACACGTGGGGCCCATAAGAAACGTGCTGGCAGGCGCAAGAGCACCGCCACCGTGTTCGCCACGTCCTTCTCAAGTGATGCGAGCGAGTTGCCGTCCATGCCGTGCGTGGGGGCGAAAGCTCCTCCGTTTCCTGCCCCATCTCTTTCTCTCTCTCTCCGTGGGAGGGCACCGCGTCACTCCCCCGCAGCCCGGCCAGCAGTTGCGGAAACACCGCGTCCTGCTCCTTCCGCGATGAGACCACCACAACCATGCGGCCCACCGAGGATGAAGGCGCCGCCGCAGAAAACGTCATAGCGGCGTCGTGTGCGGGACGCTGCGTGCCTGCCACATCCGAGTGTCCCACGCCGTCAGCGTGAGATGCGCGAAAGTGTCGCGTGACAATGCCTAGCAGCCGACGTAGCTTCGCAGCCTCAGCACGTTCAAACATGTGCTGGGCGGCGTGTTCCTCGGCCTCGCCCACAGTCACCTCCTCCAGTGTGTGCTGTACACCGTCCCACACCGTGTCATCGCGTAGACGGTAGCGATTCACCACGTCAGGGGTCTCCTGGAGCAGCGTTTCCTGCAACCACCCGTCGACCTCGT